AGGAAAGCATTTTCATTGTTCTGAATGAGAGATAAACCTGTTACATGTGAACGTTTTGTTGAAAAACCGTAACAAATATCGGTGACATTTCAAAGCGTGAAGCATGTCAAGGAACTTGAGCATCTGAAGTGTACTTTTTCTGTACTTTCGGGTCAATAATGTGGCCTTTTTGGCAGATTAACAAAAGGTGTGCTGCTGTGGTGGGGAAAGGTGAGGCTCAATTTACAATGGAGTTTAATGGAGACATGTTGAAAGTTTTTGTCACTTCATGCCCTCAAGAGGCATTTTGTTTAATTATTTTTGCTTAATGTTTTTTAATCTTTCAAGCTACGAGATGTTTTCATACTTTTGCCATGAAAAAGTATGTCTAAGGAATGTAGGCTTTGGGAATTATGGCAGGTTTAAAAGAAAATATGAAGGCAAAATTAAATCTTTCCCTCCACTGTGACATCACGCACTCTAAAATCTGAAGAAGGCCTCTTTACCAAGGTCTGAACAATGTTTAATATCTGTAAAAGTAAGAATCAGATTTTAAAAGTTGTGTTACACGAATAATGTCAGAAAGATGTGTGACATTTTAAAGTTGGAATGAGGTTGAGTGAAAGTATGAAGGAGCAGTTAGCAGTTGAAGAAGGAGCAGTTAGCAGTTGAAGTTGCATGAAGATTGTTGAAGTCTGAATAGTTCTCCATTGACTTCCATGTTAAAATGGGATGTATTATGTGATGTATCTCTGGAATTATGAAAGTTATGAATAATAAAAGTAATAGCCATTGATTCCCGACCGAGCTGAACGTTTTGATGTTTGAACGGAGTTTCTTCGATGTTCAAAGTGGGAGATGAAGCAGCGCAAAATAACCCGGCGGAATAAATAAAAGGTCGTTTTTAAAGTAACTTTATAGTAAAATGATTCAACTTTTTCATATCAGATGCTGGTTAGAGTTGTTATGGTTATGGTTATATTTCCTAATCAACAGATACAACACAGGCAAACCACCATTATTTTACTTTTTTTATTAAAAACATATAACCCATTTATTCAGATACACACACAAACTGCCCTTTAATTCGATATGTGCAGAAATCCTCAATCTTCATCACAAGATGACGATTGCAGTAGACAGAAATGGCCGTCTGTTACAGCTGCCGGTTAAAACTCGAACGAGAAGATTGTAACAACAACATAAAGAACACACACACAAGTACTCAGCGTTTTCTGGTAAATAATATAAACACAACGTAAAGCAAGTGGCTCATAGAGGTATAAGAATGATCTAAGGTACATTTCTAAATGATAACAAAATGAATGTAGGTTGTTAAATAAAACCAGGACAGACAAACCCTAAATAAAGGATTCATT